AGAGATTGGATTTATACCCCGCCCTTCACTACCCAAAGGAGTCTCAGAGCGGCTTACAAACTCCTTCCCCTCCCCATAACACGCACCCCTGTGAGGGCGGGTGGGGCCGAGAGAGCTCTTGAGAGAACTGCTCTTGAGAAAACAGCTCTGACAGAACCATGGCTTGCCCAAGGTGGAGGAGTGGGGAATCAAACTCGGTTCTCCCAGCTTAGAGTCTGCTCACTTAACCACGACACCAAACTACTACACTACACACTTAACCACTACAGGAGCCCTGCTGGAGAGAGGCATGTGCGGGGGGTCCCCCACAAAGCACTGGTGTTCCCGGTGGCCACGGCAGAGACACTCCTCGCTACACCCACCGCCCACCACCATCAGGGAGCGAGTGGGCATAGGAAGGGTGCACAAGCAAGTGGGGGGTGGTGAGAGAAAGGGCCGGAGAGCGGGCATAGGGGGGCCCCGGGCACTGTCTCGCGTCTGGGCCGGAGCCCACTTTGTCAGGTGGTCTCAGAAAGGAGGGGGAGGGGGAGGGGGGAGGGCAACAGGCCATGCCCCCCCCCGTCACCCTTTTGGCCTCGACCCGCCCTGGACAAGCCCCCCCTTCCGGCCTTGTTTCCTCGCAGCCTCTCTCCTCCACCGAAGGCCGCATCCCTCCCTGTGATGCTAACTCACCCTGCCGCTCTCCTCCTCCTGGGGGGCCTGGGGAGGCCAGTCCTCTTTCCTGCCCAGCCCTGGAGTGACCAGAGAGTTGCTGCGGCTGCCAGAATGCCATCTCCCCTGCAAACACACACACACACACACACACACACAAGTGGCTGCCAGCAGCACCCTGCGGTGCTGCGGGGGGGGGGGGGGGGGGGGGGAAGACCCTCCCGCCACCACCTTGCAAAAGCAGCCCCCCCCCCCGGCTCCACTCCCCAGATCCCTCCTCCCCAGGGGAAATTACCGAGCGGCGACTGTCCCCGTTCATGGGCGGAATCCTGGCAGAGTTCTACCCAGAACAAAGAGCCCTTGTGTGCCACCAGTGGCAGAGAGCCCTTGAGGCCCCGTTCCTGTCCAACTGCCGAGGCCAGACTCCACACACCACTTGGGGTGGGAGGGAAGATGGATTAGGGCCATGACACTGCTGGGGGGAGAGAGTTTCTTCCCTCTTCATTGCCAGTATGGTGTCGTGGCTTGGTGCGCAGACTCTAATCTGGGAGAACCGGGTTTGATTCCCCACTCCTCCACTTGCACCTGGCTGGATGGCCTTGGGTCAGTCACAAGCTCTGTCAGAGCTGTCCTTGAAAAAGAGCCGTTTCTGTCAAGAGCTCTCCCAGCCCCACCCACCTCACAGGGTGTCTGTTGTGGGGGAGAGGAAGGGAAAGGAGTTTGTCAGCCGCTCTGAGACTCCTTTGGGTAGTGAAGGGCGGGGCATAAATCCAATCTCCTCCTCCTCCTCCTCCTCTTCTTCCTCTTCATGGACTGAAAATGCCCCCCTCCCCAGCCGCTTGCAGCCCCAATGAGGAAGAAGACAGATCCCCCCCAGCCGGTATGAGGCTTAAAGCAGTACCCGGGGTGGGGTGGGGGGTATTTTCACAGGTCTCAGTCTGCAACACAGAGATCTGGGGTCCCTATAGGGGAATTTCCTGGCTGCCCACGAGTGACCAGGATCCACCCAAAGGAGTGGCCACCCCCACCGCCTCGCCGACTCACAGCTGCATGCTCGCAGCCCCCATCTTGGGGAAGGGCCCGCTCGAGGAGGTTAGAGAGACACGCCCCCAACCCTGTCCTTCGACAAATCATGTTTTTAAAAAGAGAGAGTTGTTCAGGAGTGCCTTGGGAGAACGGTAATAACAGGGCTACACTCCAGGGGTGGCCGAACTTGCTTAACGTCAGAGCCACATAGAAAAAAGTCAGATTTTGAGAGCCACATGCCATGAACAACTATTACACGTTTTTAATTGGGAAATATGCAAATGTGCATTTCATGAACATTAAACGAGACTGCCGAAAATAATAACAAAAGCGGTAAAAGCGGGTATTGATAATGGTATTTCTTTGTCCAATGGTATTTGTCTGCTAACGACATTTCGCTTCGCCAGCTGCCCTTCTGGGAGC